CATTTATTACCCGTTATAAAATATTTTGGTCCATTTTTTTATTGCATATATTGTCTTTTAATTATTGGCTTTTATTTTTGCATCATTATGCATTTTATACAAATCCACAGGCCTCCTACCCGGGCTTTACCTTTAAGATTAGATCGAAGACTGAGTAGTGTGACCTTTGTGGAATTTCGGTTCCCGTGCAGGCGCATGAAATTCTCCACTCAAGTCCACCATACTGCCAAAGCATATGGAAGATTTGGGGGCCATTGTCCTCTAGGATGCTTTAGTACATAACTTCACACCATATTCATATTGCATTTTATGTGGGTTGTTATGTTGTTCATGGCATATGGTTTTTAGGGTTGATTTCGAGCTTTAACCATAAGGTTTTAAAATTAACAATTTTTTTTTAATAAAAAATCATTTAGCTTTTATTTACTTCTATTTGTTCATGATTTATTTGTTATCAACATGCATCTACATCACATTTATTTTACTTTTTGAGTCACATATTTAGTCTACTTCTAAGTGAATTTAGAAGTATTGTCTTTTAAAGGGATTCTAAACATATATTCATGTTATCTCTCTTAGGGTGAATTAGAGTCTACCATTACGTTTGCATGCATTTGGATTGTATTAATGATTGCATGAAGTATTTATTATATTCTTGGGGCAGTTTGTAGCATATTTAGATAATTTTTTTTTCTCCTCCAAAGAAAATAAAATAAAATAAAACTTATCCTGCTCATGCATCATTCTGCATGTTCATATCATAAATTAAAAAAATATCATCTTATGTATGCATCATTTCACATGTTCATAATCATTTAAAATTTCCCTTAATTTGTGATCCAAAATTTGCATAACATTATCTTATGCATATCAATTTCTATCTTAAAAAATCAAAATCTATGCATTCTCCATTACATTATAATTAATACGAACTCTTAGAAAAAATAGCTCAAGAACCACATATTTACTATTCTTTATATACAAGGTACATAAAGCAGCATAACATGGAAGAATTTAACGCTGAGCTAAAGAAACTTAGAATCGGAATCCACGAATGGGTCATGGAAGAATTGAATACTGAGCTAAGGAAAATAAGAGGCGAGATTCAACAACAGGTCATGGAGGTGCAGAATGTAGAGCTAAAGAAGATGAGACAAGACATTGATAAGATTCAGGGACAAATCACAGAAATTTTCAATATCTTAAAAAATATTGTTGGGGGCATTTCTCAACCTAACAATTTAGTCGAACCTCATAATAATTCATCACCTAAGGTGAATTCACCTCCTTGTCAGTCAATAAAGGGCTTCCCTCAGCATAATTCATCACATGAAGCTCAGCTTTCCAAGAAAGGCCAACAAGCTCCTACAATATGTCAGGTTGAATTTGCACTCCATGATGGACAAACATCAAAGGCCATTCACTCAAATATTTTAAAAGGTAAAGAAAAAGAAAATGTTACCAATGGAAATGCTGAAGAAACT